CCTTTTTTGTGCCTGCACCCAGGCTTTGGAATTCCCTAAAGAGGGTAGGATATCTCCCTTCTTGCTGTCTTTCTGCCAGAAAATATTCCTGCTCAGACAGGTTTGCAGGAAGTGGCTGCAAAAACTTTTAATAGTGGTTATTTATTTTTTTACTGACTTTTGTCTTTTATGGATTTCTATAAATGGTTTTAATGCTACATATAGGTTTACAACAACCTTTTTCATGTTAACGTACATCTTTGCAGGCTCTTTTATTTTTATTTCTTTTACTTTTATAAGGTGCCTTGAGTCCTAGTTTTGGGAGAAAGGCAGGATATAAATGCATGAAGAGGAGGAAAAAGACGAGGAAGAAGAAAAAGATGAGGAAGAAGAGGAAACAATAATTGTACTAACTTGTTAATTGGGGGATTCATAAATATTTGGAGGAATTTTTTCAAATAAAATTTAGCCCGTTTTCTTTCCCTCCCCCTCAAATAAATGATCAGAGAAGCTAAGGTTTGTATTAAGAATGAAAAATAAGTCAGTGAGCAAGGTAATGTTTTACTACTAAAGGATTTTGGAGGCAGTTAGTGGTTACCTTGCCTGTTGTGGACAGGCACACACAGCTACAGTAGGGTCAGCTAGAGTTGAATCCTATTATTTCCCATCTTAAATTTTATTGCATTGCTTGTTACAGATAAGCTGCTGCAACGTAACATTGAAAGTGTGAATTTCTCCAGACCACCTTCCTGTCCTCTGCTGCTTAAATTCTTCCAGCTAGACAGAGGATAAGAAAGAAAAGTGGGACAGGGTAAGCATCAAAAGACTTTATAAAAGGCAGCTTCACTGTCAGAGGCTTTGTTAACTGAGGTATGCCTGTATAAAATGATACAGTGGTTGTGAGTTCTGATTTCAGTATGTATTGTCGCATTTATAAGATCATACCAAAATTATCCACTGCTGCTTCTTGTCTCCATTATGTAACAATGGCTGTGTAAAGGCAGAAAATCATAAACTAAAATAATGCTGATGAATTCTCCATATTTTGTACCATAGAGCTGAATTAGTAGTCTCAACTAGAGTAGAACCACAAACTCAATTCAAGTGTTGATTTACCACATTATCATTAATTCAATGGGTCTGTTGTAGTTAGGACTAATGATTGGATTTAGGCATAGTCCTTATTTATTTCTCTTTCTGCATAGGATAGAATTGGCATGTCATCAAATTCTAGCAGATACATTGACATATTTCCAATTTTTTTCTGGCCAGCCAAATTTTATCTGAAAATGATTTAAAAGGTTTTATTAAAATCTAGATAATTCCAATTTGGAAAGATTCCTAACAGAGATTAACATGTGAACAAATGTAATTATTACTATTGTCTTATCTGAAGCAGAAGTTGTGCCTTGAAACACAGGTAAATGCATGCAAGGAAAGCTCTGCAAAATACATTAGCCAGGAAAATTTTTGAAAATATTATTCGGAACATCATAGTATTAAAAACAGTACAATCAACAGATGCTCTGGACTGATATCCTAATACATGTTTTGAAACACTCTTAAAATAACCAGGATTGGTTGGAATGAACAGGAAGGGATAATAAGAGATTGGGGAGTAAGTAATTATTTGTGAGAGATTCAAGTCCTGAGTCCCTAAAAGTGAAATTGTAGTGAACATAGCAAATAATGATTGGTAAAAGCTTATTTAATCAGAAATTAGGCTTTACAAGAGCCGAGGTTTGGCACATTTAAAGCCTAATCCTGATTCGGCAGCATTTGCAAACAAATTTATCTGGGCCGTGTAATGCTGGCTTTGGCATTCTGTTGCACTTATGACCACACCTCCAGAATGACACAGATGGCATCTATCTCTTCACTTATCACTTTGGATAGTAGCAGCCAGCATAGGATGAAGGCATAGTAGTGAATAAAAGATAAATATAAAAAGCAGGAATTTCAAAACTTTAATGTCCCAACCCTTTCTTTTAGACACGTATAACACTACCCCTGAGAGCCAACATGGCATAGTGTTTTGAGAGTTGGACTAGGACTCTGGAGATCAGAGTTCGAATCCTGGCTCGGTGATGTAAACCCACTGGGTGACCTTGGGCAAGTCATACCATCTCAAACTCATAGGATGGCAAGGACAAAACCACCTCTGAAGAAGCTGGCCAAGATCACCTTAGGGTCACCATAAGTTGGAAACAACTTGAAGGCACACAGCAACAAGAACAACAACAACACTATCCTCATTGACATCTGCACTAGGAAGTACTACAGGTTGAGTATCTCTTATCCAGTGTGCCATAGTGTGCCACCACTGGGTGACCTTGGGCAAGTCACATGCTCTCAGCCTCAGGGGAAGGCAATGGCAGACCTCCTCTGAACAAATCTTGCCAAGAAAATCCCATGATACCTTCACTTTAGGGTTGCCATAAATTAGAAATGACTTGAAGGCACAAACAACAATCCCTTATCTGAAATGTTGAAATCTAAGATACTTCAAAATCAAAAATCGTCCACATGGGTGGCTGAGATAGAAGACACTTTTGCTTACTGAATGGTTCAATGTACAGAAACTTTGTCTCATGCACAAAGTTATCAAAAATATTCTGTATATAAGGTGTATACAAAACATAAACAAATTTCATGTTTAGACTTGGGTCTCATTTCCAAGATATATCATTATGAATATGCAAATATTTCAAAATAAATTAAAAAAACAAAACTGAAATCCAGAACACTTCTGGTCCCAAACAGTTTGGACAAGGGAGACTCAATCTGTATCCGCCTGACTAAATTCTACCTTGGTGTGTTATGTGCCTTCAAGTTGTTTTCAACATACAGAGACCCGAAGGTGAACTTATTACAAGGTTTTCTTGCCAAGATTTGTTCAAAAAGGCTTTGCTATTGCTTTTCTCTGAGAATGAGTGACTTGCCCAAAATCACCCAGTGGCTTTCCATGGCTGAGCAGGGATTCAAATCCTAGTCTCCAGAGTTGTAGTCCAATGTTCACACCACAACATGCTGGCTTTCTATCTATATCCCCATTATCGTGTTGCTTGGGCCACTCTTTTCTCTCTTTGCAGAAACCAGTGCTTGTCCAAGATCATTTGTTGGCTCAAGAGGAGACACACATGGTTCCCTTTTACCCATCACAGTCACAGGGCATAAAGCCCCAAACCCAGTCAAATTTTTCCGATACTTGAGGAAGACAATCCTACAAGCACTTCTTCTCTGGTAGCAAATGTTCAACAACAACAAATTAAGCAATGAAAGTCCTTTCACTGTGGCACATCCTGAGGCAGATGCTTCACTCTAGAGGTACAGCTTACTTTTCAAAGGCACAGTCTGAACCAGGGGTAGGCAACCTTTCCCCTTTAAGGGCTGAGGGACTTCAGCTCCCAGAATCCCAGGAGCTATTGGCCAACATGGCACTATTGGCCAAAATAGCTGAGACTTCTGGGAGCTGAAGTCCCTCAGCCCTTAAAGGGGAAAGGTTGCCTACCCCTGGTCTGAACCATGAGAAAGCGTGTGTATGTCTTGGCAGAGCAGAGGGTATTGTGGTCACTTCATAAATTGGGCACATTTGATGGATGTGAAAGAAATAATTTCACGGGACGTGATAGGCAAACAGGTGTGTTAGTCTGTTGCAGAAAACAACCATATGGGCCAACAAGTTTTATTTGGCATAAACCTTTATGGACTGCTGTATACTTCATCAGCTGCCCAGAGTGCTGCCATGGTTGGCAAATTCTTGCTTAAGTGAGTGGGGCAAAAGAGAAAAGAAATGCAAAAAAGTACAGCAGTCACTACATTAACAGTAGTTGTTAACTTTCAGCAATTGTGTGCAGGGATGGGTGGAGGCTCCATCATCAGTGGGAGAGCAAATCCAGCCTGGGTTTTGTTCAGAGTCAGACTTTAAAGGAGCTATTTAAGGTCCTGAACTCTATCCCCAAAATAGTATCTGCATGTTGGATAGCTCCTTTAAAGTTTGGACTATCACCATACCACTGACATGGGAGATACCAGTTGCTGCTAACAAAGCAATATTAGATAAAATGGTTAACACATGCGGTTTGAGGGTTGTTGTTTTAAAAGCTTCTGTCCTTGTTCCTTGCACAAGAGACAGTGTTGAAACTCCCAGTGAATTCCTGTGAATGGGAGATCAAAAGTGGCAGGGTTAGGGGGAATTATATGGCAACAAATACAAATGAGAACTGTCTCAGCAAGAAATATGTACAATCATTCTCAATTTTTCCATCTAAGACTTCAACTACAGTATTTACCCTTTTTAATAATGAAAAACTGAAAATAGTTTCTATTATAGGAGAATATATGTATTTGTGTGCCTTCAAGTTGCCTGTTGAAGTAGGTGACCCCATGAATTTAGTAAGGTTTTCTTGGGCAAGGAATACTCAGAGGTGGTTTTGCCAGTTCCTTCCTCTGGAATAGAGCCTACAGCCCCTGGTATTCATTGGCAGTCTTCCATCCAAGTACTAACCAGGGATGATCTTGCTTAGCTTCCAAGATCAGACAGGATCTCGTGCCTTTAGGGTATTTATGCCCCATTGGAGAATATTGCTGGCTCTATATCAATGGTCCAAAACACACTGCAGAAATAATCCAGTTTGAGACCGCTTTAACTACCCTGGCTCAGTGCTAGGGAATAGTGGGATTTGTAGTTTATTATGGCACCAGAGCTCTCTGACAGAGAAGATTAAATGTCTCACAAAACTACAGCACCCAGGGTTTCCTAGCACTGAGCCAGGGCAGTTAAAGGGGTCTCAACCTAGATTATTTCTGTAGCATGTTTTGGACCTTAGTTTTGCTTCTTATTGCTGTTGTTGTTGTTGCTGTGCGCCTTCAATTCATTTCCAACTTATGGTGATGCTAAGGTCAACCTATCATGGGGTTTTCTTGGCAAGATTGGTTCAGAACATCAGAGGAGGTTTGCCATTGCCTTCCTCTGAGGCTGAGAGAGTGTGACTTGCCCAAGGTCACCCGGTTGGTTTCATTGCTGAGCTGGGAATTGAACCCTGGTCTCCAGAGTTATAGTCCAAAGCCCAAACCACTAGGTTATACTGGCTCATGGTGGTATCTTAATTATTTAGAGGCAATTGCAAGGTATGTTGCAAACAGAAATAAAACATAATCAAAGGGCATTTAGAAACCAAACTCTTACACATTACTGTTATCTTGATAGTTATCTCTATCACTTTAAGGTTGTGTTTGTTCTCCTCCTGATTTTTATGCTGAACCATTGTTTGATTGGTAGATGGATGTGATTGGAATAGTGCTTGCAAACAGCAAGAATAAATGTTACAAGTGGTATTCTAGAAGAGCAACAACACATTCCTCTCCATCTGGAATGTTTAAAATAGAAGCACGCATAATGCTGTAAGTAATTCCACATTCTTTTTAATTTATCTGGGTTACAACAACATTTTCTGTCATATTTACATCTTTTCACTTTGCCATATGGGCCGTTAGATCCTAGGATTTAAAAGTATTTACTGAATTAATGATAAGAGAGGAAGGGGGGAGGTTGCATAAAAATGAAACATGAAAAAAATGAGATTATTTAGATTTTAATTTGGGGAGGGTTGTTATGAGATTGACTGGATTATGTATTTCTTTAGCTTTCATAAGGAGGGACTTTCCCCTCTTTTTAATAATGAGCAACCCTGGTGTCTGAGTTCACATTTTCTAACATGGAAGGCGGTGTGTGTTTGTTGCAGAAACATCTGTATTTTGCCATTACCGAATGGCTTAGTGATATTAATTTTTAACTGGCATTTTATCTAGCTTTATCCCATCTTGTGGTTTGATGGAGTTTTAGATTGAAAGATTAAGTAAATGTGATGTTTTAAAAGGCTGCCCCCAAAGGATAACATAGACTACTGCAGATGGAAGAAATGAGTATCCTTATTATCTAGGTGGCCCTGCAGAAATATGTTGTAATTTTCCTATAGAGAATGCATGAACTGCAGGATATTGTCCATGTTCCATTGTTCTGCAGCTTTAACATTTTGCTTTTTCTCTACTCAGCCTTAGAGGCCATTTCCCTTTCCTTAAGCATTTAGTTATGGTGATGCTAAGGTCAACCTATCATGGGCTTTTCTTGGCAAGATTGGTTCAGAACTTCAGAGGAGGTTTGCCATTGCCTTCCTCTGAGGCTGAGAAAGTGTGACTTGCCCAAGGTCACCCAGTCGGTTTCATTGCCGAGCTGGGAATTGAACCCTGGGCTCCAGAGTTAAGTAGTATTGGTTAGGGAGAAGAAGTGTGGTGTAGTGGTTTGAGTGTTGGAGTGTTACTCTGGAGACCAGGATTCAAATCCCAGCTCAGCCACAAAAACCCACTGGTTGACCTTGGGCAAGTCACACACTCTCAGCCTCCCTCATAGCAATGGCAAACCCCATCTGAAGAAGCTTGCCATGAAAACCATGCAAGAAAACCATAAGTTGGAAATAATGTGAAGGCCCACAACAACAACATCAAAGCACTGGTGAAAGACAACATGGTGTAGTGGTTTGAGCCTATGAGTCTGGAGACCAGGGTTTGAATCCCCAGTTTGCCATGAAACCCACTGCATGACACACTTTCTCATCAAACAGCCAACGTAGAATGTAAGGTTGGACTTGAGATTGAACCTCAGTCCTGGTTTTCAGCTCAGTAAGAAAAGATTTGTGGTGTAGTGGTTTGAGCATGGACTATGATTCTGGAGATCAGGGTTCGATTCCCCGCTTGAACATAAAAACCCACTGGGTGACCTTGGGCAAGTCACACTCTCTCAGTCTCAGAGGGATGGCCATGGCAAATTCCCCTCTGAAGAAAATTGCCAAGAAAACCCCTACAATAAGTTCACTTTAGTGTCCCCATAAGTAAAAAAAAATCTGACTTGGAGGCATACAACAATGCCTCAGTCAACGTAAATTTTAAAATTCCCCATCCACAAAGACAAAGAATATAGCCGGATACTTTATGTAATACTTCAGATTTTATCACCTTGCAAGCATTCTTACATTGATAAATTGCCTCTTCCTCCTTTGTATAGCCAGGAAAAATCATCATCTGATTTCTACTGCAGCTCTCCCCATTGCCTAGCAATTCAAGTCAAAGGGAGAAAGTGAGCAACAACTAGAGTAGACCCAAACCATCATTTAGCATTGGAAAATTGTTAGGCTGTCTTGATTTCTAGTTGAAACTCAAAAGGCAAACCCAACCCAAAAAAAGCCACCAAATGCATCTGAGGAAGTAGACTGAAGTCTACGAAAGCTCATGCTGCCATCTTCTTTCTTTCAGTTAGTCTCAAAAGTGCTACAAGGGATATCCACATACCAACAATTCATATAGAAAATGTATTTGAAAATTCAGTTAGGGGAATACCAGCTTCCAAGTTTTTCAAGCCAATGATCCGTAGGTTTTTCTTCTGGGTCTCAGACTCCAATTCAGTGCTTTGTATACAAGTTACCAATGTGCCCAATAAATATTGAATTTCCTCAGCAGAAAGAACCCAAGGCTGCAAAAGTAGAATAACTGGTTTTGGCTCATCAAGTTTTGCAGCCACACCTTGTAGCATGGTAAACATGTACTCTACATCCATGTCAGATACACTGCTTAGATCAAGGGTAGGCAACCTAAGGCCCGGGGGCCGGATGCGGCCCACCAGGCCTTTGGACCGGCCCCAGGCCGGTCCTGCCACCGCCACCACCTCCACTTGCCATGATGATATTGATTATTGTTGTTATTACTTGTTCTTGGGATTTTCTTGGCAAAATCTCCACAGGGGTTTTGCCATGGCTTTTCTGGGGATGAGAGAGTGTGCATGCATTTTTTAAAATTTTTTTGTTTTTTTTAAAATTATTTATTTATTTATTTATTGCGCTTCGGGCCCCCAATTGTCTGAGGGATAGCAACCCGGCCCCCAGCTCAAAAAGGTTGCCTACCCCTGCCTTAGATTCTTCATACAGAGGGGAGATATGTCTAGATTTGGTGAGACATTTTTCCTTTCACTGTTCCCGGTATGTCCAAGTACAGGTGGCCGTCCACATTTGCAGCTTCAACTTTTGCAGGCTTGATTATTTGCTGATTTGATTAACATGTTCTCTTTAGGAATCTGTAGGTCTTCCAACACGGCTGAGCTGGAAAATGACCATAGAAGAATCTCATGGCAATTGACAGCTCTTTCTGATGGAGTGTCTTATACCCCCTGACATTTCACAGATGAAAACAGGAACACATGTGGCCAAGCAACATGAGAGTGTGGTCAATACTGCAAAAGTTATTGATGAGTAACAACAGACAGGCTAGGAGAGGCTGCAGCAGCTTGCTTTTGCATAAGACTACTGGGAAGGGCAGGATTCATCTTCCTCCTTTCTATCCTAATGAGTTAATTGAGAACAAACTACATTTCTACTTTTGAACTCAGTGTACCACATCTGAAGTAAAGTGAGGATGAAGGGAAAAAGTAGGAGGAGGAGAGAGAAATTGGGACATTTTTGAAGCAGTTGAAAAAGTAGGATGCTAGAAGTTTAATTGGGTCTTTACCTGCCGACTTGGGACAGTTGAAGGGTATGCCACTTGATGTGTCAAAATATTTTCTGGTGAAGAAAATATATCCAGAGGTAACTGTGTTGGCTATATAGCAAAGTACATCATCATCTAAAATCCAAAAAACAGTGCTACCTTTATTGGGCCAACCAAAATGCACATTACACATGTTGCAACTTTTCGAAGCTTCTTCGTTAGGCAAAAGTGTTTAAAAAATCATACAGGAGAAAGGGAAAAAAATTGACATATTAATCATAGCTCTGCATTTGGTCAAGATGTTGTAGTCACAAATTGATCAAATGCAGGGCTATGACTTTGTCATTCTTCTTTCCTTCTCCTGTATCATTTTAACACCTTTGCCCAATGAAGATGCCAGTGGAGCTTCAAAGGTTTAACATGTATAATGTGTGCATTTTGGTTGGCTCAATAAAGGGATCACTGTTTTGTGGATTTTGGGTGATGCTGTACCTTTCTGGTCAAGTACAAGAACATTTGTGAATATGGCTGTATTCACACTGCAGAAATAATTCAGTTTCACATCACTTTAACTGCCATGGCTCAATACTATGGAATTTTGGGAATTGTAGTTTGTTGTGACACTACATTCTCCAGAATTCCAGAGCATTGCACCATGGTAGTTAAAGTGGGGTCAAACTGGATTATTTCTGCAGGGAAGATGCAGCCTATGTTTTACATTCCTATTCCTTCTAGTAGAGCACTGAGCTGGTACACATAACAAAACAGAGACATATCACAAGTTGTGGGGCATCTTTAAGGAGGAAATATAAGGGGCAAAGACTTTTCCAAATTGGCCATGGAATGGTCTTTCTTGGGAGAAAGAAATGGAAATTGGTGGGAAAGGGAATGGAATGTGCAGAGTGGGTGGTAGGATTGACAAAAAGGTTTTGATTAGTTCAGTTTCAAAATACAATTGCGCTCATCTAGGAACCGCATCTTGAACCAGCATCTTGAACCAACATCTCAGGTTATGTGTGATCTTTAAAAAATGCCAAGCAATGCAGGGTGATGCTGGTTTTGCATGTGTTTTATGTAAGGTTGTGAAGAGCTTGGAGAATTTACTTTCTGCATCTAAAATAACACTTTGTGCATCCTTGTTAAATTGCAGTAGGAAAAAAACCAGAAACAGCAACCGGTAAGTACCGTAGTGCTCTTAACACATGCCAGGCTTGTAGTTAACAGTAGAGGGCAATATTTAGTTATTTTTCACTGTTAGGAAAAAAACATGCAAGAAAGCTGGATAAAGGATAATTGCTGTCATATAAGTTTCTTTACACTACACAACTGTACCAGTTTGATACAACTTTAAGTGCTATGGCTTCATCCTACACAATCTGGGATTTGTAGATTGTTGAGGTAATTAGAAGTGTTGCCTTCTTTGTATTAATATGTCCTATTATTTTGTAGAATGTACGCCATCGGCAGGCTTTTTTTTATCTATTTTTATCTGTTCTATTGACTATATGTACAGTGCTGTGTAAATCTACAGCACTATAAATAAACTAATAATAATAAGTA